CTCTGTGCAGTCTTGGGATTCCACCTAAACTTGACCATGAAGGTGACATGTGGTACAGGAATAACGGAGCAACCCTATGTTAGTCTTCTGAGCCATCTGTGCTCGCACTCAGGACTCTGTGAAGCAATTTGTACTTTGGTCGAATACATAAAAAAAAATAATAATAATAATAAAATAAATGTTTTCACGTACTGAATCACTTTCCTGGATTCCAGGAAAAGAAAAAAAAAGTAGAAACAAAATCTAGATCTGTTTTTCTTTCCTTTTCTGCCAAGGTGAACCTCACCCTGGACAAAAGATTGAAGAGAGAGACCCCGAGATCAAGCCCGTTTAGCTTTGAGAAGGCGACAGCATCTTGCTGCAAACACCACACTGTGACACGCGACCTCTGAGAGTGAAGTCCTAAAACACCCCACAGGCGAGACCACGGTGATCACCTCCCAGAGAGAGCAGAGGCAAGAAGGAGGCGGTTCCAGAACTACGTGGGGCCTGTAGACGAGTCTGCTCTCATCCACGTAGAAGCCCAGGGTAAATGAAGAATAGTGAGGACCCAGGGACGAGTATGCTAACTCATCCCAATTATCCAATTATCCGCTCTGGCATGCCCTGCTCAGCCCCGGGGCGGGGGGTGGGGGGGGGCTCCAGTCTCTGGCCTCCTGCTGGGCCAGCTGGGCTGTGCTTGGGGGAGCCACGTCCCCATCAGTCCCACAGCACTATTACGTCTCTGCTTGAGGTCAGGACACGGACACCTGCACTCGCAGGGAGCCCAGAAGGAGGATGGGGAGGGCACTGAAGAAAGGAAGAAAATAACAAAGCTTTTAGTTTTGCTCCCCTGCGCCCCCGAATGCCAGCCTGGCATCGTTGTTCCTCCAAAGCCGCTGGCCCACGGAAGGAACCCCAAGCCGTCCTCTGCTTCCCTGGCCCGGCTGCCATGGTGGGGCACGTCCGTGTGCGGCTGCCTTTAGAGGTCACCGAGTACACGGTCTGTGCGCAGCAGTTTCACACACAACCACTTCAGAGAGGTGAGATCTCTCATTTTTACAGCGACCACTTCAGAAGCACAAGCCTCCATCCTCTTAAGTAGACTGAATCCCTCCCCGCCTGCAAGTTCTCCTCCGAGTCTAACTTCAGTGCTTCAAGCTGCACTTCCGAGCTGTTTCCTCTTCCTCGGGCCCAGAATTGACCAGAGGCCTCCCAAGGTTGCTCTGACATCTGCTCCCCATCCCTCCCTCCCTCTCTCTTTTAATCCAGGGGACCATATTTCCACACGGTCCTCCAGCATCCCCTCAACCCGGGGTGAAGTCCACCTGGGAATAGCCCACTGTCCCTATAAACACCACCACCCATCACGGGTGGCTCATTTCTACCACTCCCCGCCAGTATGCTGGAGACTAGGGTTGAGGTTCCACGTGTCTACACCTGGTCGTAAGGGCTCATGGCTTTTCCGAAGCATCCCTTGTCTCTTAAAGCAGATAGGCGAGGGGTCTGCGTTGCTAAAGATTTCCCGCCGTCTGGCATCTGGCTGTTTGTCCTTCTGCTTGGGTCAGGCAATGGCCAGCACTCCTGAGCTCTCCATTCAATTTTTTTAAAAGATTTTATTTATTTATTTGACAGAGTGAGCAAGTGTATGTGAGAGAGGACACAAGCAGGGACAGAGAAAGAGGGAGAAGCAGGGTCCCCGCTGAGCAAGGAGCCCGATGCAGGGCTCGATCCCAGGACCCTGAGATCATGACTTGAGCCAAAGGCAGATGCTTAATCGACTGAGCCCCCCAGGCGCCCCCAAGCTCTCTATTCTGATCCCTCTCTTGTGGTTTGCCTATCCCTGGGATCAATTTCTTGATTATTATTATTAATAAATTGTTCTTCCACATTAAGAAATGTGCTCTGCACATCATCTTTTTTCTCTCTCCCTTCCCTCCAGCGAAGCCCCAACAGATGCCCTCACCCCTTATCTCCCGCATCTTTGAAAGCCCTATTTTGCACAAATTGCTTTCTTTTTCTGCCTTTTACTGTCCTTTTTACCACCCGTCTTTGCTGCTCTGTCTTCAGCAAAGTGTGTTTCTCTGTTTTCACATGACCCTGGAAGCCCTTCTGCGAGATGAGTTTCGCTGCTGTTGCGAAAATGAGGAAACGGGCTCAGTGGCAACAGTCTGGCCAGAGGCGCCCGGCTGGGAAAGGGGCTGGGACGTGGCCCTCCTGAGTCTGAGCTGCATCTTCTCTGCGTTGCCTTCTCCCCTGCCACCTGCCCTCTCCATCCCTTTTTCTAGGACCTGTGCTCAACAAAGGCACTTGGCTCCGCGCTTGACTACTTCTGGGCAGGGAGGGGCTGCTTATGGTTTCCTGTTGTCTGTCCTCTGACGCTCCTCTGCTCTTCTGCCTTCTTCCCATGGAGCCGAGGACACATAGCTTCAAACGTGCCTCCCCGTCCTCCTGGGGGACGACTCCCCTGCCTTTCCCTACTGTCTCCCATTGCTCTGCGTACCTAATTTGTTTGATGCTCCCTATGATGAGCCACTTCCATCGACACCAACCACCGCACACTAATGCTAGCTGGATTCCCTCGAAAATCCCCAAGGATGGTTTCTAAAACTTCATCTCCAGAAAGCACAGGTGACGTCTTGATGGCTCTTGGGACACGGGCTTCTGGGATTCTCCACTCACTGCCTGTTCCTTCAAACCCTTCTCCTCTTGCCCGCTTGGCTGTCTTCTGTGCTTTTGCATTTCTGGACCTCCTGGCAGAGACCCATCGCCCCTTTGGCCCCGGCCCCTCCAAGAGGGCGCCGGCTCCCCGAAACAGTGTCTTGCCACCCACCTCAGATGGCTTTCCTCGCCTGCCCTACTGCGTGGCCACGGCTCTTTACAAACTCAGCAAAGAGGTTTGTCAGGTGTTTTAAATTTTGTAATTCTGGAATTTGTCACAAACTTCATCCTACAAGGAGAAGTGGAATGCAAATCCTATCCCATCGCAGGCAGCGGCGAGGGAGCACCGGCAGGAAGCCACTGGGAGTCACGGACAAGCACACCCCCCTGCCCCGGGCTCCATACCACACCTGCCCCAGGCTCGCTGGCACCTAGAGCTCAAGCCTCAGCCAAGAGACACAGCCCGGGAAGTAGTCCGCAGTGCCCGCCAGGGGCCTGGTGACCTCGTCCCAGCCGAACCTTCTAGGCCCCGGTGGCTGACAAGGGATGGTGTACCTAGAATATTCTGAAGGCAGCTACAGGGAGCATGTGCTGACCGCCACCAAGCGCCCTGCGTGCTGTCCTCTGCTCTCCAGGAATCAGGCGACTTTCAGTTCTCTAAAGGACACCCATCACCACCAGGGCTCACGGGCTGCAGGGCAGCTCTGGGGATGTCGGGGAGCGCTCCCTCGTTTCCCCCACAATGAACCCAGAGTCCTAACGCTGATGGCTGGGCTCTCGGATCACTTGAGAGCTTAGGTGAGCACATATTCACCTAATTTCTTCTGAGCCTCCCCGCCCCATGTCCCAGGTGGGTCATGAGCCCGTGCTTGTTGCCGCCCAAAGTGCAGAGAACAGTACCCACGTCGCTGGTGGTTTCAAGGTCAGATGAAGGAGACAAAGCAGGGCCACCTGACATTAGCCATTCATGCGCCACCTTTGCAAGCTTTTATCATATATGTACACCCTCACTGCCTTAATAGTTTTACTGAAATCTGACTTTCTACTTTATGTAAATGTGTCTTGAGAGGCAGTGTAACAGTAGCACAGTATGTAATATACCAGAAACACTTGCAACAAACGCAAGACACTCTTAAAAATAAATGCATCGACGAAAAAGAAGCACGCTCTTGTGTTCCCCAACTCTGGGGACCCCTGAAATGACGTGAGGAGAGCAAAGTGGAAAATCCAGAAGTGTGTGTGTGTTTGTGTGTATGTGTGTGTATTATATATATATATATATATATAGATAGATAGATAGATAGATAACCCTTATACCCAAAGTTTCACTGGTTTCTAAGATGTGAAAACACAGAAAATGCATTTCTTAGTTACCACATCAGGATGTCCTATAGAGAGACAGCTGTGATGGTCTTCATGATGAACCCTAAGAACTTCACACACGTCGCCCTCCTTGGCTGTGGGGGCTCACACCTGCCCCACACAGGATCCATCCCACCTCGTGACCTCTGCTCACCCTTCATGATACTCTTTTGTGCATATAGGTGGCTCTCAGTGTCACCTTTTTTTTTTTTTTAAAGAAAGAGAAAATAGGTATTCTAAGGAATTGCTGACTCATTATCTCATGAGAACATGGTTTAAACGTGTGAAAACTAGTCTTTGAGTTAGAAATCAAGTCTCACGTTGACTCTGTGACCTTGTACATTTGGCTGAACTTCTTGGGGAGTCCGTGATAAAGACAGCCGACCAGGTTTTGCAGACATGACCTGTGCTGTGCACATTAACCCTGGGGAGAGGCTGCAGGAATGTACGTACCTACCTCTGTATGGAAAAGGGGTGTGCAAAAAGGCATTTTGACATTTAACCATTTCTATCCCTCGAATTTCATACTTGGAGTTGCATTTGGCGTTTGAAAAACACGGCTGAGTGGGATAACATAAAATGGACAGATCTGGCTTTTTCTAAACCAAAGCTCTAAAACTAACTTGTTTTGCCATAGCACATAAAATGTATCATTTTCACTACCTACAGTGCATAATATCACATGTTCCTGCAGCACCGAGGGGATGGGAGACCTTCTAGGGACATGCCCCCACAGCAGGGAGTTCTTCCCCTCCGCCACGTGGTCTCCCCGTGGGGGTGTCACTCCTCGGTGACTCCTCTCTAAGCCCCTGCACACCGGGGCCCCACCCTGCTGATCTTTATCCCGCATCTTCTTAACATGGTGGTTGAGGAGAAACAGCAGGTCTGATGATCTCACCCCCCAACGACTGACTTTGGAAGGATATGAAGGGACCCAGGTGTTAATGGGCACAGAGCGAGCGACAGCCCGCCCACGGACACCCGGATGGCCGACTCACCCACTCCTCTCTCACTCTTGGAGCTCTGCTGTCCGCCAGACGTGGTGGAAAGGTCTTCAGGGACCGGCATGGGCTCGTCCCCATCATCGGGAGTGTCACTCACTGGCGGGCTTTCCTTCCCTGAGGAAACAAGTAGTAGCTTGAATTTTTAAGGCTGTGGTCGCCTACAGCACGGGCAGCAGGGACCCTGCACACAGATGCCTTTGTTATATGTTACATGTAATACGCAGTGATCTATTTAATCAGAATGAACAGTGGTCGTCAGACATTATCATGGTCACTTTTCCATGCCAAGTGACCAAACTCCCACAATTTTATTTATGACGTCTGTGTCATACCCCATCGCATGGCTACTCCAGGATTTATTTAAATCCTTTTTTAATTTTTGAATTTATGTTGTTTCCAATCTCTTTCCCTGTTAAGCAATACTGTGGGAAACATGCTAGTGGCCAGCCTCTGCCCGTGTTCTTAGGTGTTCCAGAAGTCTCAAGAGTGGGTCAAAAGGCACCTATGTTATTTTTTTTAAAGATTTTATTTATTTATCTATTTTTTTATTTGTCAGAGAGAGAACACAAGACGGGGGAGAAACAGGCAAAGGGACAAGAAGTCTCCCTGCTGAGCAAGGAGCCTGATGCGGGACTTGATCCCAGGACCCTGAGACCATGACCTGAGCTGAAGGCAGAGGTTTTAACCCAGAGAGCCACCCAGGCGCCCCAAGCATCTGCCCTTGTAAGGCTTACCACCCGTTATCCCACATTTTTTCCTCCAAGATGGTCCAATCTACCCCCCCGTAAGTGGGCTTTGTTCCACCTTCAGACTCATTGTCATTCCAGGTCACCTGACCGGTTGTCTTGCTCAGAGCTCTACATTCTGGGTCTGCTCACTGCCCTTTAAAGACCCAGAGAATATTCTGCTAGTGGCCCACTTTGATCCAACCAGGTGGGGAACGAGCTTGCAAAGAGCAGGAATATGGAATCTGAGGCCTCCTGGGGCCACGATTCCTTCTGTGGAATTCTTGTCTTTGAAACTCGAAAATCAGTCCCCTCAGCTACCCAGCGGCTCATCCTGCACAAAGTGAGATTGACCGAAGGAACGTGCTTCCCGGGACGGCCGTAGTAGCTGCGACATCATCGGAGGCTCCAGCAACGGGGAACCCGCCCCTCCCCACTCCCACCCCACTCCCAGAAATCCAGCACTGGGAAGCCACAACTGGCAGAAAACGTGCTATCTTTCCTTTGAAACTGAAACACCTGTATCTCCCAACCTAGACATTACTTAAAATTAGGTTAGCAGACACAAACACATGCAAGGAACGGATGGCAAGGCCCAAAGCTGATGCGAAATAACCCATCAGAGCCGCTCCAGAAGACCAGGGGAGACGCCGGCCCTAAATGAGGCCAACAGAGAAGTGGAAGCGGGGGTCACACGCCCGCAGGCTGGGCTGGTGACCCGGCTTCCAGGCAGAGGACATCCCCGCACAGATGAGCCCAGACTTTGGCGAAGACGGTGCTGAAAACTAGAAAACCTGGCCAGGAAGATCGAAGTGTGCTCACACGTTTGAATAACCGTCTGGAAGTGCAACACCCACACTTCGGGGGACAGAGAAGACGCGCTCAAGTGTCCCCGGGAAAGGACGTGACCTCATGGGCAGGCACTGAGGCAATGCTTTGGGGGACAGCCGTGCATTCTCTGGGAACAAGACACTGTAGCAGAATATTTCAGCTTAGCTGCAGCTGCCACAAGTGGCAGGTTTTCAGAAAGAGCATTATTGGGTCTATCTGGACAGCGAACGTGAGACGTGTCGTTAAAGGCGGGGCGGGATTATAAGGATTTCACAAGAAAAAAACAAAAGCTGGAGAGGAAATGATGGAAAGCCTCGTTGATATGCATTAGGTCAGTGATATTTCCAGGACTCTAAACAGTGATAAGTAACAGTGGCTAAAAGTCTCCTTGTGCTCAATTCCACAAATGTGGAACCACTGAACAGGAGAATGTAGGAGGCAAAGGACCATCTGATAACTGGGTTTTCCTTACCTGTGCCTCCAGCAATGGTTTTCAGACTTAGAGGACTTCAGGGAGGTGGTCAGAGGAATCTTTTTTACTCAGAACTTCAGTACATAAGACCAGACTTCAGTGTCAAGTGGAGGCTGTTGCAGGGAGCGGCGGGGGTGGGAGACTGGAGACCCAGGCCACCTGCCTTCTCAAAGACCTCCTGAGGACTCCCCCTCCCCCAAAACAGACAGTGGAGACCCCTGGATGAGCCAACTGACTCAAGATTAGAGGTGTATAGAGCAAGGTGGTGTGCACGTGCGTCTTGATGACTAACCAGGTGTCGTTATTATGGGGTGGGCATGGGAGGCTGAGCAACCAACCTTTATGGGCATGTTTTATCTTCCCTGTGACACTTCCTTTTGGAATACTCCATGATCCCCCTGGTTAAAGAAGTAGGACCTACCCAATGGAGGCTCATGGGTCTCTGCTCTACTTAGCTAAGGCATGTACATGTAACTCTGATTACTCTTCTCGTAATTTAACTGCTCTGTGGGTTAGGGAATAAGGCTAATCACACCGTATTGAGATGGTTATATCTTAGAAGTGCCTGCTAAGGGTTCTGTGGGTCTGGACGGGCTCCTGCACTGAATGAAGTGCCAGCTTTCCAGCACCAAACAGCCCGTGCCTCAGTCCTCCCACTGCTTCCTGCGCGGGAGAAAGAGGAAGAAGAAAGCAGCAGGGAGGGTGAGTCCAAGATGCATGGGTCAGACCGAGCAACGGGAGCTCCCTATGTGGGAGAAACGCATGGGCAGAAGGGAGCGTGAACAGTCGTCCCCGGCGTAGACCTAGAGGAGAGGAGAGTGAGGTAACAGTCACCTTCCCTCCACCACCTCCAAGGGGCCTGCTGTCACACAGTCTCCGCTCACCTTCACTCGGTGAGAGATTTTCGGAGGCAGCCTGATTTGCCTGAGAGCCCTAAAGTCTGGGTGGTGCTGAGGCTGACTTACTCCCGTGAGCCCTGGTGCCCCATGGCCCCATTCGCTCATGGTTGGAGATTTCCACGGTGAATATGGACCCCTTTGGGAAAATGTTCCGGTCAAGCGAAGATTGTTCGTGTGTTGATTTTAAACAAATTCGCCTCATGAACCACTGAAAAGGCAAAGCCGTGGGAAGATCATAAGAGATACAAAAGTAAGGTTGTTAGATCAAGTCAACGCATCCCAAACACCAACACACAGTCTACCTGGGATACGGTTTGGACAGAAACATGGAAGAAGTCACCTCTCTAAGAGAGTTTCCTCAACAGACAAATGAAGCTAAAAACCGTGATGTTGGTCTAACTCACAGGGCTCCTGTGAAGATAAAATAACAACGTGTGTGAGTGTGTATATGCTGAAGAAGCCTATGGGCCCATTTCTACATGGCAGCCGACCACGGAACCATGAGGTCTGTGTGCACCATCTCATCTCGCCCAAGTTCACGTACAGAGACAGACAACACGTGGGGCCGTAGACAGCGAGAGATCGAGCTCTCCTCCTGGAATAACTTAGGAAGTGCAATGTAATCTCACTTAGAAAAAGGAAAGAAACTTCTCAGCATTTATTTAATCTTACTACTTGCTTTTGCTTCAAATAAAGCATTACCTGTGAGAAGTGTTTGGGGCAAAGCAGATGAGAAAATTGTATAATGAGCTTATCAAAAGCAAGCAAGTTAATTTCTCAAGTAGATCATAATTCATCCAACAAAGTTCTGTGAGTCCCCATCTCCCAAGTGCAGGAGTGGCTTTTATATGCAATTACCCAGGGGAACATAATTCCTGGGGGTAAAGAACAAGTCAGAATACAGATTCCCAACTCTAGAATAGTGGAAAAGCTTGCATCCCAGCGTCCTGTCTGGCTCCCTGTGGGACTTCTGGTCCATTCCTGAAATTTCCCCAATCTCAGCTCCCTGCAAATGGAAAACGGTACCTGTATCTTCTTCACTGGGTGCTTGTAAAGTTGAAGAGAGACAACACCCAGGGCAGTGTTTGGTAAACGTAAGCATTCAATCAAGCGATTTCCTAGGATGACCCTTTCCGCTTCCATTTCAGTAGAAACTAGCTTCGTTTCTCTGAGCAGACTATGCTGCCTACAGAGCATACTTCTTGCTTCTGTGTTCCAACAAACAACACAAATACCATTGAGAACACTTCCTGTACTGCTCTCAGGAGTCAGAGGATCCTTAAAAATCCACTGGCTCACATCCCTCATTTTGCAGTGACATGACAGCGGTCTGTCCAGGAGGCAGAAAACCTCTCTCAGACACTATAGTTGGGGACAAAGATGGACATAGATATTGGCCTCATTATCCCCCATGAGCTGTCTCTCCCCTTAGAAATCCAAACAAAAAATAATGCACAGGCATAAAAATATTTTGGAAAGACTGACAAAGAAGAAAGAGACAAAACAAAAACAAAAACAAAAACACAACCATACACACACACAAACTTTACCCAAAGAATGAATAAGATACGCCCTAAAGGAAAAACCACCAGAAAGAAAGGATCAGGTGATTTGGGAAAATTAAAAAAAAAAAAAAAAGTCAGATACTAAGTATTTCTTTCTTTTTCAGGTGAATATTTCTCAGATACTGATGGAACTGTTGCTCCTGGAGCATTTGAACCCAGGAAACTGGCAACTTCCTGGTTCACCTTAGAAAGTTTGTTGTTTTCTTTCCTGGGGGCAGAACATGACAGTGAAGAATTTTCTGGGGGAAAGACAGAGATTGAATAACATATGCCTCCACAGATCAAGAATGTCAACTCCTATTTGACTAAATGCATGTCCTCCTTCTTCTTTTTTTTTTTTTCTAAGATTTTATTTATTTATTTGAGAGAGGGGGAGAGCATGGGAGCACAAGCAGGAGGCAGCGGCAGAGGGAGAGGAAGAAGATACTCCCCATTGACCAGGAAGCCTGATGCGGGACTCGATCCCAGGACCCTAAGCTGAAGGCAAACACTCAACCAACTGAGCCACCCCTGTACATCCTTATTCTATAACTGACAGTACCCTCAGTTTTCAGAAATGGAAAAGACAAAGTGATGTGACTAGCTTTGAGTTGGAGAAGCAGCAAGAAGTAGAAGAAGAATCCTTCAGATCTTTAGGAAAAATGGCAGGACCCTTCAGATGCCCCACGGGCTGTGCAGGACACTTCAAATTTCATCGGCCAAGAACGCTATTAGTGTTTTGGAAGTACCATCTCCCTTGCATACAAACTAAATTTCAGACCACGTCTTGAACCTTCTTGACCACAAAAGAGTTTCATTTTTCAGGCAGTCTTGGGCCATGGGTGTTACAGGCAAACAATAGATCACGGAATACTCCATCATAAACTAATGATGTACCAAATGGTGATGAATGTAAAATAATAATAAAAATTAAAAAAAATAAAATGTTTTAAAAAAAGAAACCCCCTAAGCCAAAAGCAACACCTATACCCAAAGCAAAAAACAACCCAAACAAATAAACCAAAAAAAAAAAAATAAATAAATAAAATAAAAGAATCTGTTCAAGGAAAACAAATATGCAAATAGAACTTAAAGCTAGTAGATACTACCTGTAAAGCAAAGGGCAACTCCTCTTCCACAGCCCATCCCTCCCTCCCGTCACCAAGCTGCCTAGGGGAAGTCTAGGTTAGTAAATCTCTCTCCAGAATCTTCTCCAGCATGCATGCAAGTGTGCAGGAATTGTGAGTGTGTGCGTGCATGTGAGACGCGTGTTTATTTTACAGAATGGATCACACCTTGCGTGCCATCCCGAACTTGGCCTGCCTGTCAGCATAGGTCTCGGACGTGTTCCGCTTGCTATAAAGGTATTCACACCAACCTCGTTTGGAAGAGCAGGACAAACAAGTGTGTAGAAATGCCCTGGTTTTTTGGATGTCAGAGCCAATGCTGCTCCAACACTCTTTGTGCTTACAGGTGCATCTCTAGGGAGAACTCCTTCATAGCCCCAAGAGTTCAAGTCCACACTTGCCGAATGACTGGAGTCGTTGGCCCAAAGGAGGCAGGGGACGTCTGGGACCGTGGCAAGAACTTGACTGTCTCCCCTGCACATGCGTCAGTGAGCAGGCAGCCACCAGGTTGGGCAGCAGCCACTTAGACCGAGGGGCAGAATTCAATACAAACTTGGAAACGGGTGGGGGACAGGTCAGCCGGGCCCAGATGACAAGGCCAGGCCATCCTCCCAGACGCCCACCCGGGACCGGCCATGAGCCTGGGCGGCCCTAAAAGGTGAAATAATGAAAACCCACAGCCCACAGGGGCTGCTCTTGCAGTGGACACCTCGGGGTCCAAGGCCAGACAGCAGGTGGGCTTCCTATGCCTAGGAACACGGGAGCCATGGAGGCTTTGCTGGACGGTCTGGTGGGTCACCCTGCTCAGCACCGACTAGTGGGATAGTCTGTGACCCGCCCCTTAGGCTTTATGTCCCATTCCCGACTGCTCCACTTCCTGGTCGCCCAAGATGACAAGAGCCACATCAAATATGGCTTGAAAAAAATGTATGTGGGAGGGGAGCAATGCTGCTTCCAAGCTTACCAGATATTCGAGTTGTGCCTCAAAACTATGCTTTTCAATTTCTTTCTCCTGCTCTTCCTCCTCCCACCCCCTTCCTCCATCTCCCGCTTAAACACCACCATTGGCACCTGCTTGGGGTCCAGAGCAGACTCATCAGTTTCTCCTCCCTCCACAAGAGAATCAACATATATTGGACCTTTTCCGGGGTGCTCTCAGATTTCCCAGCAGAACTCATTTTATGCTTGGAGATTTTTCTATTCAGTTTCTCCAGCAGGGATGAACTCTAAGACTTGACATAAAGCATTGACATGACTTCCATCTTGGTCTTCCCTTCTGCAGGACAGCCTGTCTTCCTCCCTCAGGAACACAGCAAGCGCCTTGGCCCCGGCACCCTGGAGAGGGGTCCTCATGGGCCCCCCATACCCCACAGGGTCTCACCTGAAACTCGGGACATGTCTTGACCCTCATCAGCGTCCATTGTCCTCGGGTTATCTGAGAAAGAGAGGAAGGGATTTTAGTTTAAAGCAAATTACTAATAAGATAGAGAGAGAGAGACGTTCTATGTATTTAACAACAAGGTTATCTACCAAGAATAATGCATTTTCCTCCTCACATACTTGCTGGAGTATCAGACTGGCACAGACCTTGATCCTTTTAAAAACAGCATTACAAAGATTTATAAAAATATCATTACAAGCACAGGAGGACCAAATTTGTTATTTATTGTTAATTTCCTACTGCATAATAACCCAAAATGCAAACTGACTGCAACAAAATTAAGCAGAAAATTAAATGGCCCTGGGTCATTGTAGGCACAGAATTCATTCTCTTGGCTGATCCATAGTTATGTTCTTTCTAATTTACTGAGCATGCATCGATGAACCTTGAGTCAGCTTGGTGACACGCGTACAATCAGCAATCAAAAAACGAAGCAATTTGCTGAAGAATGTCTCATTTACCCAGGCAGGGCTGCATCTGTGAGCAGCTCTCGCACTCCCTCCATCAATAATGAATACACCTCCAGCCTGGCAGACGGGCAACGCGGGCGCGTCTGTCTTTGTCCCCCACTCGCTCAGGGACCCTGCCTCCGACGTCGCCCGTGCGCTCACGCAGGGAGAAGGGAAGCTCATGCTGCAGCAGGGCCAAGCGGGGAGAGCACCCACACCTTCCTGTTTGCTGACACATGGCTCGGCTCCTCACATCGGTTTAAAAAACAGAAAACCAACTGGGAAGAGCCGCCCTTGGTGGCGACAACCAATGTCCTGCCTTGAGGGGTGAGCCGCTGCACAAGCTGGTGGGGGCCGTCAGGGCCCTGGCCTGGCCTTGGAGATCATGGGTGCCCTAGGGGATGACCCCTGGGAGCCCTGTGGACAGGGAGATCTGTGGCCAGCGGCAGATGACCTCAACCAAATCTGCTTGTTTGTGCTCTGTTGGACAACCGACAGGACAGACCCTTCTCGAAGCAACACACTGAGTCCATCTGTTGACTCTAACTCAGGTTTCTTGCCGGGGGGAGGTGCCTCTGCTTCTTTGGTTCAGGTGTGTGGATCTGAGTGTGAGGCCAGTTTGCAGCAGACCCAGCCACGGGTCGGGGGTTCAGGGGACTGAACTACGCAGGCAGGGGTGGACACGTGCGTGTATAGAACAGCCTTTCTGGTCCCCGTGGAGTCCATATTTTCAATTTCTGTAGTATCAGTACGAGTCACGAAGAAGACACGAATGACTGTCACTTTTTCTGGATGGGGAGGGGTTTTCATCTATTTCTGAAAGTCACTGAATGGGTCTGAAGCGTGACCTGGTTTTTCCAGGCTGCTGTGGGGCACAGGGGTACAGCTGCTGGCCACAGAGGGGGAAGAAGGCCCGTGACCTCACGTGGGTTCTGCCGCAAGACTGAGGGTCCACGAGCCAGCTGAAGCCAGACAAACCAGCCCTGGGAACCAGCTCGAAACTGCCCGTGCACCCAATGTCTCATGGACCCCTATGTGAAAATCTATGATTCTTCTGAAACCATCCAAACAATTATAAAGAGACAGGATGGGTCCAATGAGAAAAATCTTTGTCATCTTTGGGTGGCATGAATGTGAGGTTCTACTCAGTGAAGGCGGGCACAGTGTTTGACTGCCGCGTCACAGACCTGTCTTCAAACGCCCTGTGTTGAGTGGTGAGACAGACGGCATTACTCGAATCTTGTTGTGACAAATCCTGGGCTAACACAGAATCTGTAGAATGTTGACTTGGAATCTTCTCGCCATGCAAGTGACACATTTTTTACAATTTTTTTTTTTTTTTTTACAAAGACAAGAAAATGCCCATAACTTCCACACACACAGAGCTTTTTACAAAAACAGGACACTAAACATATTCCAAATGGCCTCTTGTAAAGTGTTTTTTCATTGAATCTGTCACGTGTCTTTTTATTTTGCAAATCTACATCAATGTCCTCATTTCAGTGGCTACACACTTCTCAGCTGAAGGACTGATTTATCCGGTACCCCAGTATAGATCCAAGCTAAGTGCAAGTAGAGAACTACTGTTTCCTAAGGCCCCCATCTTGGCTCTAAGGGAGAAGGTGTCCTCCCTCGAGGCACAGTGGGGACCCTCTGCGTTTGAGGCCAGGACACAATCCATTCCCACCAGGTTCCCCATCATGCATCTGCTGGTTCACGTGGGACATGTGACAAGTGCCACAAAGCAGAACACAGATGGTCCGAGGCCCAGACCAAGCTCTTCTGGGCGGGAGAGTCCTTGTCCTGGGCAGTCACCTGGCTTGTGTGTCCTATGTGTTCTTTCCTGGAAGCAGGCCCCCCAGTACCCCCCTCCCCAGCAGCCTCCTGGACACTCAGGACAGTACTGTGCTAGGGGTCAGCCACACCGAGCAACTGCCTATTCTCATTCTCACTGAAGGTCCACCCCCCACCCCTCACACCCCCACTCCCCCATGCGGAACTCCACTGGGTGATCAGCACCACTGAGATTTCCAGTCATACTCCCAAATGACCCTACTGCCTGTGGTGTGTGGCCGTGCTGAGAGGGTCCCCTTGCTTGGGGTAACAGTTGCTTGTCACCATTGTGCTGACCTTGATAATCTGGGTGTAGGGCCCACCTTCCCAGGCTGTGCTGGGCCCTGTGAATGCTGTGGCCTGTCCTGCCTGCCATCACGCAGGAGGCGTGGGACTTGACAAGCTCCCAAATTTTCATCTCTTGGGATGGAACAGTCATGACTTTGTGGGAAAAGTGATGGCTTTTAGGCAAAGACCAAAGGAATAATTTGGCAACAGGAAACTAATTGAGGGAGAGGAAATTCTACCCCCTCCAAGACCCAAGGTTATAGAGAGACATCTGTGGGCATCTGGGAAGGGACAGCAGGATGCCACACCGTCCTGGCCACCATGTGCACGACCCAGGCTCAGTGCTTATTTTCAGGCAGTGTTTACCGAGCTCTCGTCTCCCACGTGGAGTTGTGTCCAGGGCCGAGTGGAAAACACTGTGTGGGCTGGATATCATCTCCACCATCAGAAAGAGGAGTTCATCACACAAGTGGATTCATAACCATTACTAAAACCGGCCCTTAAACAAAAACCAGGACCACAGAGATGCCAGAGGCAAGGAATATTTTACAGAGGTGAACTGTGATTTTCTCCCCTGCACGGGAAAGACACAAACAACTGAAGGCCAGAGTTCCACGGATCGACAGGGCAGAAAACACGACATCAGCAAACACCTGTCACCTGGGCAGTTCCCACAGCCTGAAAGCTCTTATTGTTTCTCTGGAGCAAGCAGTTTGGATCTCGCACACGGGAAACAGATGCAGAGATAAGTGAAGGCCAACGTGACAGCGGCTGTCGCTGGCCGCCCCTCTACGGGAGCACACTGTCACAAGCCGCTGCCCGCTCATCTCCCACTCTGGGGCAGGCATGGAATGGAACATCTCTTCCCATCTTTTCTTTTGTCTCCTTCATCCCTCCTCCCTCCCTCTCTGTTTCTGCCTCTGTGTCTGTCTGGTCCTTCTGCTCCAACAGGACTTTCCTAGTGTGAGCTCAGTGGGGTTGGCACATCAGTGACTCCAGAAAGTGGGGGATGCAGAAGATTGAGCAAAAGAAGTGAGAGACAGGAGCAAAGCTAGCCCAGAACCTCTGTGCTTCTCCAGCAGCCCCGCCAGAGAAAAGGGGTCTTACTGCCAGTGCTATCCCCAGTGAGCTTCCCTCAGTGAGAGGAAGACTCTGGAAAATACGCCACCTCCCTGACCCTGTCCTTCTTTCCTTCTTCCACACCCATGAGGGACTAGGATCTGGCTCTCTCCTGGGAAGAACTGCCCTGGGCAGTCATGGTTCCCGAGTCAGGGGCTGGGCAAGTCTCCAGGAGCATCTTCACTTGTACCTGCGAGAAAGCAGGTAGCCCCAAGAACAGCCCCAAGAGCCAAAGGAAGACCCAACGGCCACTGGCAGGTGCACAGGGCTGGCGGCAGTCCTCGGCCCTCCTCACGAGACCCCGCTTTGCCCTGAGATGAACACCGCTCTTCACAGCACTTGCTATGAGACAGCAGTGCTCTCCCATACTTTTTTTTTTTTTTAAAGATTTTATTTATTTATTTGACAGACAGATCACAAGTAGATGGAGAGGCAGGCAGAGAGAGAGAGAGAGAGGGAAGCAGGCTCCCTGCTGAGCAGAGAGCCCGATGCGGGACTCGATCCCAGGACCCTGAGATCATGACCTGAGCCGAAGGCAGCGGCTTAACCCACTGAGCCACCCAGGCGCCCCTCTCCCATACTTCTGAGAAGGTGTTGGAATTAATGAAGTCTAAATGAAAAGCCAGACGCCTGTCAAGAACCACACCTTGATTCCTTTCCAAGTGGTCCAATGTCATGGCTATTCCAGCACTGCCAAGTGCACGGCGGGCTAACTGGCTGTGAGCCATTCCCTGGGAGCACCCAGCCCCTCCATAAGATTTACAGATCTCAGCTCTCTGTGGTTTAAACAACACACACGAACTTAAAAAAAAAAAGCCATGTTGGTACAGCGGGATGCTGGTAAGATGCTGTCCCGCCTGTTCGAAAGTTGCTAACAGAGTCAATCTTAAAAGTACGCCTCACACACAGGTTTTTGTGACTCTGAGTGGTGACAGCTGTTAGTGAGGCTCCTCGTGGGCAACACTGTGCAACGTACACAAATATCACATCATCGTGCCGTATGCCTGACACTAATAAAATTATGCTTCCATCAAAACAAATACATAAATACCGAAAACAATGCCTTTCCTCTCCCCTGAGACACATGGTCACCTTCTGCCCAGCGCGATCTCATTTCTTAAGAACTTTGTATGTGCCAGAAAGAGATGGTGAAGGATTGGATACTGGTCTTGGCTGGCTTTATTTAAACAACCGACCACGGCATTTAACAGGCAAACTGCAGAGAACCACAAGACCGTCCACCCTGTCCCCCTCGCCCACTGCTCTGTGTGAGGGCCTGAGACAGTGCCTGGCATGGATCTAGTA